TATGGGGGCTAAGGCAGAGGTGGTTAGGGGAGATCCGGCAGGCAGGCAGAAGGGTTAGGGGCAATCAGGCAGGCAAGCAGGTGAGCAGTTATGAGCCAGCTGTCCTGGATTGTGAGAGGGATGTCCAACTGTCCCATAGGGATCGAGCCTAAACCGGCATCGGGCATCCCCCAAGGGGTCCTGGATTAAAGAGGTTGCAGGCCAGGCTGAGGCCCCCCCTCCACCATGCACGAATTTTGTGCACCAGGCCTCTAGTTTTCTTATAAACCTAAAACTGCTCAAAAAACTAAATCTATTTTAAAATACTGTGTAGCTGACTTACTTTTCCTCAGTACACTTCCTTACTGAATGTGCAATATGTCAGAAAAAAGGTACTCTGGTTCTTTTAGATGAAGTTTTAAAATGACCTTATAAATAAAGGCCAATCTGACAACATACTCTAATAGCATATATAATATTAAAGTATAAATACATTATGTCAAAGAACAAGAGGGAAAAGAAAAATGGATTTATATGTTTTTAAAATGATTTCCATATTTAGTTTAAAAACACAATACACTTGAAAAAGGTTTCTGTACTTATATGGTTTGCCAATGAACTGCCCTTATTTTAAAGCGGGTCTAAGATTCCACTGATAAAATTTGATAAACTTTAGGGTAAAAAAATAATAATAATAAAAACACAATACAAGACTGAGTCCTGGCTGGGTAGCTCAGTTGGTTAGAGTATCATCCCTATACACCTTGGTTGTGGGTTTGATCCCTGGTCACGCCCATACAAGAAATAACCAAGGAATGCATATAAGTGAAACAATAAATTGATACTTCTCTCTCTCTCTCTCTCTCTCTTTCTCTCTCTCTCCCCCTCCCTTCCTCTCTCTCCCTTTTTCTCTAAACAAAATCAATCAATAAATTTAAAAACTTTAAAGACACTATACAATACTGAAATGTACACCCAAGAGAATATATTACTCACATATACATAAATGTTAATATTATATTAACGGTATTGTAATAGCATTTATAGAAAGCTTAATCTGTCAGGTGTTATACAAAGTGCCCTATATACATGGTTTCTTTGTTTATTCAATTTTTTTATTTCACTAAACACAAAAATATCAATAGATTCTATGCTGATTATATAGGATCACATGTTCACCATTCCACCCATCATGCTCCAAAAAGTGAGTCTTTTACCAAAGTTAGTGTGATCAGAAAAACCAAAATAAATAAATTCAAATATTATTCTTATAAAGGTATAAGCAGAACTAGAGAAACTGGTCCCATCACTATTAACAAGTTCTAAATAATCATCCACTAACAATTACATACCCATGTCAAATACTGCCTCCTCTATGAACCTTTTTCTAATTTATCTGACCCATGTGGTTGGCTTCCCCTGTCCCCTGCCAGTTTCTTCAGCCTCTATCACACGAATTAGTTGCTTCTAACTCTGTATTTCCATTGTATGTGTGCATACTTCTTTGTAGCATTTCTTTGTGTTTTTATAATTCACTTAGAAAAGCACACATAAACAACAAAGAAAGAAGCAACCAACTGAGGATGAGTATTGTAAGGGCGGAAAAGCACACATAAACAACAAAGAAAGAAGCAAATCTTTTTTGCCCCACCAACTGAGGATGAGTATTATAAGGGCAAAGGTATTATCTTAGGCATCTTTCTATCTTATGTGGCATTCAACCATCTAGCAGTGAAAACAAATGTTCTGTAAAGTTTTCCTGAAAGAATGTACAGTATGTAAAATTCAGAACAGGTAAAAATTTACTCTCAAATTTGATATTATGACCCCAATGTCTTTTAAAGATTTCTGATGCCTTATCTTCCTTCTTCCGTACCTGGTTATCCCAATATATGAAACTTCTTGCTTCTTTTCATTGTTAACCAGGGAAAGCCCAAGACTATGAAGAGAAAAGGTTATTTCATGATCAGCGTGCTCCATTTCTTCTGCCTGCAGTGCTTTGGAAACCAAGGCAACATCATCAGTGAAAAGCAAAACTCTCTGGCGCCCGTCCAGGAACGACACCCAGTGTATCTGGATGTTTGCATCATATGGAAACTGTCCACATTCATCCTGGGGGTTAAAGAGACTTTATATTAAACCCACGAATAGCTTTTATTCCATAAAGTTGAACTACAGTAACTAGAAAGTTAATAAAAGTTTAAAAAGCATGACTATAAATTGGAAAACTCTAACCACCAAAATAAAACTTCTAATCTATTTCAAAACATCTCACTGATTTTTCAAACAATAATAAAGATTGAGAGTGCTTAATTTTTTTTATACCTTAGTTTGAATTACCTAGTTGGTGCTCAAAAGGCACTTAGCAGGAACAAGAATAGCCTTCAATGACACCAATGCCATAAGATGCTTACTTGTCTCCAACATGGACAACAGAATGGTTCAGATGTTTATTAGGCCTCCGGTAAAACTAACCTAGTTTATTTTTGTTTTAAAACTTTATAACAATGCAAAAATGTATATACATCACACTGTTAAACAGTCAAAATATGGTGATCAATTTATAGTAAGTTCACCAAGAAAAGCCTGAAAATATGATGCTTGATTAGTGTTTTCAGAGATTAAAATAATGATTCCTCTTCATCTGGCTTAACATAAATACAACCACATTTCATTTCAACAGGTAGTACAAATACCTACTACGTGCTTTTCATCTCTTGCTTTCTTGGAAAAAAAAACAAATAAAGGATGTTAACAAGAATATGGAAATAGTTTTGCAATTGTTGTTAGAAAACAGAGGCATGGATACATGGAACAGACTGATAGCTGTCAGCGGCGAGTGAGGAGGGGACTGGATAAAAGAAGGTGAAGGGATTAGCCAACGAACATATATGCATGGCACGTAGACATACACAAGAGTGTGATGATGGCCAGAGGGAAATGGGTGGGTTCAGAGTGGGATGACTCCTTTAATTAAAAAAAAAAATGGCCTTGATTGGAAAGCATGCCTAAAAATCTCTCAGTCAACAGTGATATGTGTATGTTCAAAACAAAGTTGTTTTTCATCTTCCTTTTAAAAACAGGTAAATAAAAAAGTGCTTTGCTGATCTTTACTTAGACAAGATGAAGCGGGCCTATTTTGAAATTGTAAATGAATTATTTTGACATATCTTAGATTAAATATTGGTATGAACTATTTGCAATCTAAAGTCGAAAAGTAATTTATTCCCAATTCATTTTTAGTTCAAAAACTAAAGATAACTGTGTGAAGCTAGCTTGTTTACTTCCTTTGCCATCATTCACATCAAATGATACCTTTAATAGATCATGTTGCCCAATATTTGCTGCATATCTCCATGTAAGTTTTCTGGTACCAGTAGGGTCAGCCCAGGCAAAAAGTCGAGCTTGTCTTGGCAGCAATTTCACTTCTTCCTGTAACCCACTGAAACACAACCGATGGAAGATTAAAATATCGGCCTGAAAAACCCAGACTATGTTTTCCTGAGATAGAACTGGCACAGAAATCTTATAAAATTTCCTTTAATAATTAAATACAAATCTGCTTAAAAATAGCCTATAAAGCCCAGTAAACTAATGTTTTTGAAGCTTGAGGTAACAGAATATTTCTCTTTCCAAGGTTTCAGTGTACTCTCTAAATTGATACAAGGATGATCACACCAATAGAATTCATTAAGGTAAACAAACTGGTATGTCAGAGCACACCGGTAAAAAAAAAAAAAAGCTGTGAATAGTAGCAGTGCTTAAATGTAAGCTTTTTAACCAAATAAAATGCATAAGAAATATGATTCACAGAAAAAACATAATTGGGTCCATACTGTCACCATTCCAAGTGTGGTCTGTGGACCAGCAGCATCAGCATTAACTGGGCTTGCTGAAAATACAAAATCCTGGACCCCATCTAAATCCTACTAAGTCAGAATATGCATTTTAACAAGATTTCCAGGAAATTTTGAAATTGATCATTAAAGTTTAAAAAGTATTGATCCACTTAATATAAACAGCTTTTCCGAGAACTAAAAAAATTAAAAGTAACACAATTAGGTTTCCATCTTAATCTGCATTTTTAAATCTCTCAGTGCATTCAAGCCATGAGAGTTAAGAACAGACAAATATGTAAGGCATTATTATATATTATATAATTATATAGGTAGAATTACTTTATAATAAAGCAATGCCTTGCAGATTTATAATAATTCTTTGCAAATATATAATGTTATATACTATAGGGGTTTAAAACTATTATTATAAAATGGTATCATCTATTATTATATAACTAATTTGTACACTTGGGGGGGGGTTTCCCTCAGCCTGGCCTGTGCCCTCTCGCAGTCTGGGACCCCTCAGGGGATGTCCACGTGCTGGCTTAGGCCTGCTCCCCAGGAGATCAGGCCTAAGCTGTCAGTCAGACATTCTTCTGGCAGCCCGGGAGCCCTCGGGGGATGTCCACTTGCCAGTGGGGAGCAGGC